GTGGTCTCACATTCCTGGACCCCTTTGGTGATCTGAGGAAGTTCTACTGTTCCCAGGACAGTATGCTCATATTGTTTGTGTACAGTTTGAGGGGATGCACACATACACACCCCAAGACCATTTGTGGACCCAGATTCTCCTAGATGCCCTGAGGAGCCTAGGCCCAAGGAGAAAGGGCCTTGCCAGAGGTCACAAAGGCGACCAGGTCCCTGGAGGGGTCAGCAGGGCCTACCCTACACAACGCCACCTTTTTCTTCCAGCATGCCCAGGCCTGCACACTGCGGGCTAGACAGCCCTCCAGCTGGTGTCCCCAGCACCCAGGCCACATTTTTCCCCTGCTCGGGCACCAGCAGTCTTGCTGGCCGCACTCTTAAGCTCCAGGTCACGAAGTCCAGTCCTTTTCTTGTGCACCATTTGCTCCCCCATAGACCACCCTGTTCCTCTGGAGAGCTTGTCGATAACTAGACCCATTCCTGGTAGTCTGTTCCAGCATTAAGAAAACAGCATGTCTGCTCCCCCATATCCATCCTGGGTGGTGCTGGAGACACAGGAGGGACAGCCCCAGCCCCATCCTTCCAGGGCGTACAGTCCAGGGAGGGAGACAGGAAGTCCCTGGCCAGTAACAACTGAGAGGAGTGTGGGACTGGGCAGAGGGGTGATGTAACACAGCCTGGGTGTGGGACATCAGGGAGGTCTTCTCGAAAGAGGGGACACTCGGGCTGAGACCAGGAAAGGATGAGTAGGCGGCAGCAGCAGGAGGCTGCAGTTACCGAGGGAGGTGCTCGCCAGCTGGTTCTGGACCTGCAGTGCCACGCCTGGCTGACTTAGGGGACGAAGGAGGGGCCCTGGTCAAGAGAAGAGGTCAGGCTGTGGCCACTGGGGAGGGCGCCCCGGGGGCTCTTGTAGGTCAGGTGGGAATTTGGCCTGTCTCTTGAGAGTGTCTGGGAAGGGAGTCAGGTCTGATCTTTCCAAAGCCCCCTTCAGGCTATTGTATGGAAAGTGGATCAGAGGCTCACGGGAGGCCCACGTTGGGACCCAGGGCAAAGCTAACAGGGAAGGAGGGGAGGGGTGATTCTGGAGCCTTTAGGTGGCTGAGTGGGCAGCACCAGTGACCACCTGGCCCTGAAGGGGAGCGGGGCTTCCTCGGTTTCTGGCAGGTCCTCACCGCTACTCTCTGCTCTGCCCATTCAGCCTCCTCCCCACCTGTCTACGCCTCCCCCTCCCTTAGAGGCCCCACCCCTGTTCTCTGTTAGCCTCTCAAGGATTTTTGGGGTTGTGGGGGGTGCTCTCCTGGCTCAATAAAGACTTCCTGGTTGATACTCACATGGCAAGTGGTGTTTGGGGAAGGGCTTCAAAGGCAGCTCCTGGGGCCTCCTATTAGCACAGTGGATTGGGGCACAGCCACCCACTCGGGGAACAGACCCCAGGGCCTGGGTGCTCATGCCGTGCCAACCCTCTGGGTCCTACTGGTACTGGCACTGGGTGTTGAGCTGGGGGCTCATTGTATGCCCCGGCTCCAGCCGCCTCTTGTCCCTCCCTTCACTGTTACTCTACTGATTGTGCCCATATCCCCCACACAGACCTTGGCCTGGCACCCCCATCTTCCCAGCACCAGTGCAAGCCCTGTGTCCCTGTCAGGAGTGGGTGGGCAGTTCCTAAGCTGGTCTGTAGATTGCTGTTCTCCCTGGAGGGGCTGGTGGAAGCCAATAGCTGCCTTCTCTCCCTAGCAGGGGTGGGGGGCCCTGCCACTCACCCAGGGCTTGGCAACACATCTTTCCAAGGTCATCCTCAAAGAGAGGGTGTCACGGGCTCCCTGTTCCACTCACTGTGGGGCTTCCTGGAGTTGGATGTCTTCTCCCTTGAACCAGGCCTGCCGGTTTTCCAAGCGTGGGGCTGTAGTGTGCCTTCTGCTGGGTCAGGGGAGTCTCCTGTCTCCGCCAGGGTCTTTAGAAGTCAGGGTTGGCTCTTCCCCTCATGTGGGCAGACAGCAGGGCGGTGCTCTCAAAGGGTGGTTGGGCTCCCACCTCCCAAGGGGCAGCTGGGCAGAGAGGACAGGCCCACTCTCCGCCTCCTCACAGCCACCAACCTGTGCTTTGCGGAGCGGAACGTGTACACGTCAGAGGTGCTGGCCGTGGTGATGCAGCAGCTGATGGAGCAGAGCCCCCTGCCCATGCTGCTCATGAGGACCGTCATCCAGTCCTTGACCATGTACCCCCGCCTGGGGGGCTTCGTCATGAACATCCTGTCCCGCCTCATCATGAAGCAGGTAACCCACCCCCAGCCACCCCATCCCCAGGCTGCAGATGGCAGCACGCCATGCTGACAGAACTCCCCTTCCCCTCCTGACCCCCAAGGGAGCCGGGTGGAGGATGGCCGGCTCTGCTCTGCCTTCTGCCAGGAAAATAGCAGTGCTCTAGGGTCTATGACTTGGCCAGCTCCCAGGTGATGAGGGAGGGCAACTGGGTGGTAAGAGCGTGGTAACCCTCAAGGAGCGTGCACTCAGGAGAGACATGGCCGCTCCTCACCCCCACCAATGTGTGCCAGGCCAGGATGCATCCCAGAGCCGAAACGTGGTCCAGGTTTTTGAGAGGTGCTAGAAATTTGGGCTTTAGAAATGCCACGATTGAGTCCAGGCATGATGGCTCACACTTGTAATGTAACCCTTTGGGAGGCCAAGGCAGAAGGTTTGCTTGAACCCAGGTGTTTGGGGCTGCAGTGAGGAATAATCGCCCTACTCACTGCACTGTAGCCTGAGCAACAGAGTAAGACCGTGTCTCAAAAAAAAAAAAAAAAAAAAAAAAAAAAATTACCATGATGAAACAAAACCCATGTGCAAGCCCCAGACTCGATTTGGCCTATGGGTTGCCACTTTACAGCATCCGGCTTAGAGGTTATATGTGGATTCAAACAGACCTGGGTTCAGATGTGCCCCTCCTTCCTCATTTGACCCGGGACAGGTCCCGCACCCCGGCGGACCTCCGCTGTTTAGCAGGGCTCATATCGCCCCCTGGAGGCTGCCGTGAGAATGTACAGGTGACCCTGGGCAGGTCTCAGCACCCGCACCGACCTCTGCTGTTTAGCAGGGCTCATATCGCTCCCTGGAGGCTGCCGTGAGAATGTCATGAGAGGGTGCTCCCGCAGCACTTAGCCTGGGCCTGGCCCAGCAGGGGAAGTCCAGAAAAGGCAGCCCTGGGTTTTATTCCACCTCCTTCCCAAGTTGACCTCATGGTCCAGCTGCCTGGTTTCGGAAGACAAAGGCCCTTGGAGGGAGGTCAGGGCTGCTTGTGGCCCATCCAGAGGAATGGACGGTGGGATGTGGGCATGGTCTTGGCAAGGTCTTTATTCCAATGTTGGGGCTGAGGGTCTTCCTGTGTGCCCCTCCCGACGGCTCCCTCCCTGCCTGGTCCAGGTGTGGAAGTACCCCAAGGTGTGGGAGGGCTTCATCAAGTGCTGCCAGCGCACCAAGCCCCAGAGCTTCCAGGTCATCCTGCAGCTGCCGCCCCAGCAGCTGGGAGCCGTCTTTGACAAGTGTCCCGAGCTCCGGGAGCCCCTGCTGGCTCACGTCCGATCCTTCACCCCCCACCAGGTACCCCTTCCCCCTACCCCAGGTGTGTGGTGCCCTCTGGGTCCCTCCGGTTGGGGGGGAGCTGAATGGAGGTGAACACCAGAAGGCCCTGCACAGCTGGAAGCTCTGGAGATTCAGGGCCCCAGGATCTGAGGTGTGCAAGTGGGGTCTCTGTGCCAGATCTGTCCCCAGAACCCCCTTCCTGCTCTCCACTCAGCAAGCTCACATCCCGAACTCCATCATGACCATCTTGGAGGCAACCGGGAAGCAGGAGCCAGAGGCCAAGGAGGCGTCTGCGGGGCCCTTGGAGGAGGTGAGGGCCCTGCAGCCTACCCATCTGGATCCTCAGATCCTCACCTGGTACCCCAGGCCAGCAAGGCTCACCATGGCCTGCTCCCGACCCCGAGACACGCAGGCCACCCCTGCCTCTGAGCCACCTTGTCTCCCAGGGGATGCTCCTGCTGGAAGGGAGTTGGGGGTCTGGGGGACAACTGCCCCTCCCTCCCTGTGCCCATAGTGAAGAGCTCAAAGACCACCTCAGGGTGGCCCCTTCTCTTTCCCACCGTCCTCTGAGCCACTCGCCTCTGAGCTTCTGTGTGGCCCTCCTCACCCCCAGGATGACCTGGAGCCCCTGGCCCTGGCCCCTGCCCCGGCCCCCCGGCCCCCACAGGACCTCATCGGCCTGCGGTTGGCCCAGGAGAAGGCCTTAAAGCGGCAGCTGGAGGAGGAGCAGAAGCTGAAGCCCGGAGGAGTGGGAGCCCCCTCCTCTTCCTCCTCTCCCTCAGCCCGGCCGGGCCCGCCCACGTCGGAGGAAGCCATGGATTTCCGGGAGGAGGGGCCTGAGTGTGAGACCCCGGCCATCTTCATCAGCATGGATGATGACTCGGGGCTGACTGAGGCCGCACTGTTGGACTCTAGTCTGGAGGGGCCCCTACCCAAGGTAGGGAGAGCAGAAGGATCCGGGCCGGGGTGAAGGTAGGGGGCAGGCGCCAGGGTGCAGAGCGTGGAGGGGACCGCGCCCTCCGACCGGCTCCCCTTCTCCTGTCACCAGGAGACTGCAGCGGGCGGGTTGACCTTGAAGGAGGAGCGGAGCCCCCAGACCCTCGCCGCTATTGGAGAGGATGCTGTGAAGACCCCCAGCCCGGCCGCTGAGGATGTGGGGGAACCTGAGGCCAAGGGGAACAGCTGACAGGGCTCGAGGGGGAAGGGGGGTGGGACTGGGACGTGAGGCTGGGAGATGGGGCGGAGCTCAACCTGTGGATGCTTTGCCTTAAAAAAAAAAAAAATAAAAGATGTGAAATTGGACAAGTTACTGAAAAGAAAAAAACGGGGTAGTGGGCCTGGGTCGGGGGTGTCGTCTCGGGCCTGGCGCGACGTCTGCTGTGGGGCTGCGCGGGATCAGGAGTGCGCGCTCGGAGCCGGCGCGGAACCCACCCTGGCCCAGCTCCCCGCGCCCTCCCCGGTAAACGGCCCCCCTCCAGTGCTCGGAAACCTGCAGTGGCAACGGATGGCTCGCCCGGCCTCCCTGTCTGCAAGCCTTTCTCCTAGAGGCCTGTGCCTCCTTGCGAGCCATGGGGGACTTGCCGCCCTACCCTGAGTCCCTTCCTCAGCAGCCCCCGAGCCGGAGGAGTTCTCAGGCCTCCGAGAGGCGGCACAGTCGGGGACAAGCTCAGCCCCTGGCAGCCGGCCCCGAGGAGGGGCGGCAGATGCCTCCAGACGCCCAGCACAACGTCCCGGGCTGGTCACAGAGGCGCAGCCTTTCCCAACAGGAGAGCTTCCTGATGCCCCAGGCCTTCCAGGCTGAGGAAGCCCGGCTGGGTGGCATGGAGTACCCATCCATGAACTCGGGCTTTCCCTCAGAGCCCCAGCCCCAGCCTTACCCAGAAGAAAGCAGGAACCAGGCTTCCCAGGGCACCACCAGTCTAATACTACAGCGGCTCCAGCAGGGCCAAGGCGGCCTGTTCCAGCAACTGGACTCCACTTTCCAGGAGCCCCCGGTCAGCCCCTTGAACCAGTTCAACCTCTACCAGACAGACCAGATCTACGAAGGTGCCCAGCACGGGCCCTACAGAAGGGACGACCCTGCCCTTCAGTTCTCAGGCTCTGAGCTGGGCTTCCTGCAATACAGCAACGAAGTGCCCGAGCCAGAGCCGCTGGAGCTGGCCGTGCAGAACGCCAAGGCCTACCTGCTGCAGACCAGCATCAACTGTGACCTCAGCCTGTGAGCAGGGGCAAAGGGTGGGGCCGGTGGGGGACCCAGGCAGGGAGGGGCCCCAGCCAAGACCCTACCTCAGTCAGTCACACAAGGGTTGTCCCTCATGGAAAACCAGTGACTGCTCTGGGCCTCTAGTTCAGCTAGGAGTCGGAATCAGTGGCACCAGCAGCTAGCGTTTACTAATCAGACGTGTGCTGGCACTGCACACGCTCACACCTAATTCTCAGCTGAGATGAGCACCATCCTGCTTTACAGAGGAGGAGACACACACACAAGTTGGGTTGCTTACCCAAAACCACACAGCTAGGACGTGGCAGAGTCAGGGTTCCAGCACACGTGACTTGGCTCCCCAGGCCCTCTTCCTTTATTTATTTACTTTTTTCAGACATAGTCTCACTCTGTCCCCCAGGCTGGAGCGCAGTGGCACAATCTTGGCTCACTGCAAGCCCCGCCTCCTGGGTTCAATTGTTTTCTCCTGCCTCAGCGTCCGCAGTAGCTGGGATTATAGGCGCACTCCACCACATCCAGCTAATTTTTGTGTTTTTAGTAGAGACAAGGTTTCACCATGTTGCCCAGACTAGTCTTGAACTCTTGACCTCAAGTGATCTCCCTGTCTCAGCCTCCCAAAGTGCTGGGATTACAGACATAAACCACCGCACCCAGCCCAACAACCAAGACTCTCTTATCCAGCAACAAAACCTCCCTGCCTGAAGACACTCGCCAAACCACTTAGCTGCAGTCACAATGCACCGCTCTCAGCCTCCATGAGATACCCAGGAAGCTCTCATTCTAGGGGAGTGGACAAGAAACAGAAAAACTGATAAACTGAAGTTAAGGGGGGCTCGAAGAGGGCTGGGAACACATGTGAAATAGTGTGGATCTGACCAGGCGCGGTGGCTCATATCTGTTATCCCAGCACTTTGAGAGGCCGAAGCAGGCGAATCACCTGAGGTCAGGAGTTCAAGACCAGCCTGGCCAACATGGCAAAACGCTATCTCTACTAAAAAATACAAAAATCAGCAGGGTGTGGTAGCGTGGGGCGGTAATCCCAGCTACTTGGGAGGTTGAGACGGGAGAATCGCTTAAACTCAGGAGGTGAAGGTTGCAGTGAGCCAGGATCACGCCACTGCACTTCAGCCTGGTCAACAGAGTGAGACTCCATCTCAAAAAAATAGTGTGGGTCAGGGAAGGCCTCTCCGAGGAGGTGACATTTGATTAGGGCCCCAAAGGAGGCGAGGGAGGGCACCTTGCAGATAACTGAAGGAAGAGTGAGCCAGGCAGAGCACATGGCAAATGCAAAGGCTCTCAGGCTTGCTGTCTTTGAGGAGCGGTAAGGAGGGGCTGGTATGTCTGGAACCAAGGAAGGAAGAGGGCGAAGCGGGAGAAGTGAGGTTGATGAAGCAATGGTTCTTGTTAAACACAAAGCTTGGCCCCATCCCTCCGATGCTCAGCACCTGCTATGGCTCCCCTTTGCCCACAGTGGGAAGCTGAGACTCCTCACCACAGCCTTCAAGGCACCTGGCCTGAACCATTTAACACCCTGCTTATGCCTGTAATCCCAGCATATTGGGAGGCCAAGGTGGATGGATCACTCAAGGTCAGGAGTTTGAGACCAGCCTGGCCAACATGGCTAAATCCTGTTTCTACTAAAAAATTTTAAAAATAGCCAGGCGTGGTGGCGCATGCCTGTAATCCCAGCTACTCAGAGGCTGAGGCAGGAGAATCGCTTGAACCCAGGAGGCGGAGGCTGCACCAAGCTGAGGTCATACAACTGCACTCCAACCTCTCAAAAATAAATAAGTTGCAAACCCTCTTCCATCCCTGGCACCCCAGGCCCCATTCTCTACTTTATGTGTCACCCTAGAAATTACCACCCCATGCCTGACACACTGTATATATTTTGCTTGTTTGATTAGTGTCAGTCTCCACCATAAGAATGTCAGCTGGGCGCAGTGGCTCACGCCTGTAATCCCAGGACTTTGGGAGGTAGGCAGATCACAAGGTCAAGAGTTCAAGACCAACATGGTGAAACCCTGTCTCTACTAAAAATTAAACATTAGCCAGGCGTGGTGGCGCACACCTGTAATCCCAGCTACTCAGGAGGCTGAGGCAGGAGAATTGCTTAAACCCAGGAGGCGGAGGTTGCAGTGAGCCAAGATGGTGCCACTGCACTCCAGCCTGGGTGACAGAGCGAGACTCCATCTCAAAAAATAAAGAAAAAAAAATCAGCTACACCTGGGCAGGGACCTTTCTGTTCCCTACTGTGTCCCCAGCAGCAGGTACAGGGCCAGGCACAGGGCAGCTGGCTCAGTGAGCTGAGTGAATGATGTCTCTGTCCTCCCACTCCTCCTGCGGGAGGCAGGTATGAGCACCTGGTGAACCTGCTGACCAAGATCCTGAACCAGCGGCCCGAGGACCCCTTGTCCGTCCTGGAGCCGCTGAACCGCACCACGCAGTGGGAGTGGTTCCACCCCAAGCTGGACACGCTGCGGGACGACCCAGAGATGCAGCCCACCTACGAGATGGCAGAGAAGCAGAAGGCGCTGTTCACCCGGGGTGGAGGCGGCGCCGAAGGCGAACAGGAGATGGAGGAGGAGGTGGTGAGTGAGCCAGACAGGAGAGGTGGGCAGCGGGATGGGGGCGGGGGCCCAAGCTTACTTAAGGCACAGCCTGTGCCAAGGCCTGGAGGCAAACGACAGCATTCCACAATCCAACCACAAAACAACTTCAGTCTTGGCCAGGTGGGGTGGCTCAGGCCTGTAATCCCAGCACTCTGGGAGGCTGAGGCAGGCGGATCACGAGGTCAGGAGTTCGAGACCAGACTGGCTAACATGGTGAAACCCTGCTTCTACTAAAAATACAAAAATTAGGCGTGGTGGTGGGTGCCTGTAATTCCAGCTACTCAGGAGGCTGAGGCAGGAGAATTGCTTGAACCTGGGAGGCAGATGTTGCAGTGAGCAAAGACCGAGGCACTGCGCTCCAGCCTGAGCATCAGAGCGAGACTTTGCCGGGCACGGTGGCTCACGCCTGTAATCCCAACACTTTGGGAGGCCGAGGCGGGCAGATCACGAGATCCAGAGATCGAGACCATCCTGGCCAAAATGGTGAAACCCGGTCTCTACTAAAAATACAAAAATCAGCTGGACGTGGTGGTGTGCGTCTGTAGTCCCAGCTATTCAGGAGGCTGAGACAGGAGAATTGCTTGAACCTGGGAGGTGGAGGTTGCAGTGAGCCGAGACTGTGCCACTGCACTCCAGCCTGGCGCCTGGTGACAGAGTGAGACTCTGTCTCAAAAAATAAATAAAAATAAATAAATAAAATTAAAAATCAGTCTGGGCGCTGTGGGTCACGCCTGTAATCCCAGCACTTTGGGAGGCCAAGGTGGGCGGATCACGAGATCAAGAGATCGAGACCATCCTGGCCAACATGGCAAAATACCGTCTCTACTAAAAATACAACAGCAAAAAAAAATTAGCTGGGCGTGGTGGCATGCGCCTGTGGTCTCAGCTACTCGGAAGGCTGAGGCGGAAGAATCGCTTGAACCCAGGAGGCGGAGGTTGCAGTGAGCCGAGATTGCACCACTGCATTCCATCTTGGTGACAAAGCAAGACTCCGTCTCAAAAGAAAAAAAAAAATTAAAAATCATTGGTCAAAAATGCTTTAACACCCTGAAAAACCCACCCTACATTGAAAAATCTAAGTCAAATTATCTTAAGTCTGGGACTGTCTGTATTTAATTTCACAATCCCACAATCAGATAATGCTTAAAATTTGGGTCAAGCGTTCTTTCACTTGTTCAACAAACTTTTGTTGTGGACTCTGATAATTCTGACACCTGCTTGGTCCCGAGCTAAGAGCTTCCGGAGCATGCTCTCATTTCACCCTGTTACCCAAGCACCAGCCATGCAGGCGACATGCTGCTACTCTCTGCACACAGAGCCAATCACTGAGACATTCAGAATTGCCAGCTGGAGAGGTTTTTTTAAAAAAAATTTAATTAATTAAGTCAGGGCCGGGCACGATGGTTCATGCCTGTAATCCTGGCACTTTGGGAGACCAAGACAGGCAGATCATGAGGTCAGGAGTTCAAGACTAGCCTGGCCAACGTGGTGAAACCCCATCTCTACTAAAAACACAAAAATTAGCTGGACATGGTGGCACGTACCTGTAATCCCAGCTACTCCGGAGGCTGAAGCAGAGAATTGCTTGAACCCACGAGGCAGAGGTTGCAGTGAGCCGAGATTGTGCCACTGCATTCCAGCCTAGGTGACAGAGCAAGACTCTGTCTCAAAACGAATAAATAAAAAAAAATAAATAATTGATGGGGTCTTGCTATGTTGGCCAGGTTTGTCTTGAACTCTTGGCCTCAAGCCATCCTCCTGCCTCGGCCTCCCCAAGTGTTGGATTACAGGCATGAGCCACCACACCTGGCCAAGAGCTGGAGTTCTTAATTTGAGGTCTGTGGAAGGGCAAAATTGGGGGCTTTGTGGCCTGTGAATGCTTTTAGGAAATGACTCATAAAAAATGGGTGATTCGGCCGGGCGCGGTGGCTCACGCCTATAACTCCAGCACTTTGGGAGGCCGAGGCGGGTGGATCACGAGGTCAAGAGATCGAGACCATCCTGGTCAACATGGTGAAACCCCGTCTCTACTAAAACTACAAAAAATTAGCTGGGCATGGTGGCGCGTGCCTGTAATCCCAGCTACTCAGGAGGCTGAGGCAGGAGAATTGCCTGAACCCAGGAGGCGGAGGTTGCTGTGAGCCGAGATTGCGCCATTGCACTCCAGCCTGGGTAACAAGAGCGAAACTCTGTCTCAAAAAAAAAAAAGGGGGATTCAGCATTTTCTTTTTTTTTTTTCTGTCTAGTGCAAGGCAAAGCTCTTATTTTTCTCATTTGCTATCTTCCAGACAGCTAGCCAGGACCTTCAACGGCATTTAGGCGATAAACCATTCCTTCCCATCCCACACAGTTTTCAAATACCTCCTGCACCATCTGTTTCCCCACACAGGGTCCTGCCAGAGTCTGCTCCTGGCCTTCGCTCTGTGGATGGCTTCCTGCTCTGAGACCCTCCTGTTTACTGCTGACAGCAGCTCATGTCGGGTGTTGCTGTTTTGGTAGCAAGTCTCCCCATCACTGAACCTCAAATGCTTGACTATTCTCACATCTATAATTTTATTCATTTATTTATTTGAGATGGAGTCTCACTCTGTCACCCAGGCTGGAGAGCAATGAACTCCGCTCACTGCAACCTCCACTTCCCGGGTTCAATGTGATTCTCCTGCCTCAGCCTCCCGAATAGCTGGGATTACAGGTGTATGCCACCACGCCCAGCTAGTTTTTGTATTTTTAGTAGAGACGAAGTTTTCCCATGTTGACCAGCCTGGTGTCGAATTCCTGACCTCAAGTGATCTGTCTGCCTCAGCCTCCCAAAATGCTGGGATTCAGGCATGAGCCATGTGCCTGGCCACATCTGTAATTTTAGACTAACTTTAGGGCCAAGTTTCGTTCTTGTTGCCCAGGCTAGAGTGCAATGGCACGATCTTGGCTCACCGTAACCTCTACTTTTCCCAGATTCAAGCCATTCTTCTGCCTCAGCCTCCCAAGTAGCTGGGATTACAGACATGCACCACCACACCCAGCTAATTTTGTATTTTTAGTAGGGATGGGGTTTCTCCACGTCGATCAAGCTGGTCTCGCACTCCCAACCTCTGGTGATCCACCTGCCTTGATCTCCAAAGTACTGAGATTACAGCTAGTGCTCAATTTACGACCACGATTGGTTTCCACAGACCGGTTGTAACACGATTTGGTTGTAAGTTGAGTAGGCTATATGTACAGTACTGTGAAATGATGTTATAAAAATCTTTAAGTCATATTTTATCATAATTTTCTTTCATTATTGTTATATATCATAATTTTCTTTGTTCATTTTATGCCGTTTGTATCATCTCTACACCATTTTGTTTCTTATTTTTACAGTCGTCAGGTTTAAGTAAAACACTGCATTACCAGTAGTAAAGGTTGACCTGAATGCTTATTATGAAAGCATTCTTGTCAAATCTCATTTTTAAAAAGCCACCTTAACTTGTGGTAAAGGCGCAGCCTTGTGTAAAACCGTAGAATATTCACAGATCACTGAACCACGGTGGTTTGAAGTGAAAAACCATGGCACATGATGAGTTTTGAAAAGGAGAAGAGTATGAACTATGTTAAGTCTTTTTTTTTTTTTTTTTTTTTTTTTTTTTTTTTGGGGTTGTTGTCTCTTTTTTTCCCC